TCAAGTGGATGAAGAGCACGGCTGTGTGACTGTGCAGAGGAAGGGGACAGGAGCTTTGGACACACTGAGTGTGTGTCACTGAGTGACAGTCAACTGCTTTTCTTGAGTTCCTGCAAAGTTCCATTCTTTTCAACCTCAAGGTATTAAGCACATGCTTCACCCTCTGCCTGGTGTTGTTAGGTGCCATCAAGTCAGTTCTGACTCACAGCAACCTTATGCACAACAGAACACTGCGCCATCCTCCCGACTGTTAAGCTTGAGCCTGTCGCTGCTGCCACCATGCCAATCCATCTTGTTGGGGCCTTCCTCTTTTTTTTTTTTTCCAACCTTCCACTTTACCAAGCATGCTGTCTTTCTAAAGGGTCTAGTCCCTCCTGATAACATGTCTGAATTTTGAGAGATCAAGCCTTCCCTTCCTGGCTTCTTAGGAGCATTCTGGCTGAACTTCTTCCAACACAGATTTGTCTGGCAGTCCTTAGGACTTTTAGTATTCATCAATACCGTAATTAAAATGCACTGATCCTTCTATGATCTTCTTTATTCATCGGCCAATTTTCACATGCATATGAGGCAACACCCTGGCTTGGGTCCGGTGTACCTTAGTCCTCAAACTGGTATCTTTGTTCTTGAAAACTTTAAAGAGGTCTTATGCAGCAGATTAGCCTAATGCAATACGTTTGTTTGATTTCTTGACTGCTGCTTCCCTAAGTGTTGATTGTGGAACCAAGCAAAGTGAATCTTTTCTCCATTTATTTACTGGTCAAGCGGTGGGGATTTTTTTTTTCCCCCCTTTTAACTGAAATGCAATCCATACTGTGGTCTTTTATCTTCATCAGTATTTCAAAGTCCTCTTCACTTTCAGCAAACAGGGTTCTTCAATCTACAAATCAAAGGTGGTTAATGAGTCTTCCTCCAATCTTTTATCACACTCTTCTTCATATAATCCAGCTCAGCATACAGACTGAACAAATATGGTCAAAGGATAAAACTCTGGCACACAGCTTTCCTGATTTTAAGCCATTTGGTATCCCCTTGTCCTGCTCGAACAACTGCCTTCTTGGTCTATGTAAAGGTTCTTCATGAGTACAATGATGTGTTCTGGAATACCCATTCTTCACAATGTGATCCATATTCTTTACTTTCAGCCAAGATCCATGTACCACCAGCAGTGATATCCCTAGTTCCACCTCCTCACCTGAAGCTGACTTGAATTTCTAGCAATCTCTGTCAATGTACTGTTGCAACTATTTTTGAATGATCTTCAGCAAAATTTTACTTGCATGTGATATTAATGATACTGTTCAATGATTTCCGCATTCTGTTGGGTCACCTCTTTTTTTGGAATGGGAACAAATATGAATCTCTTCCAATCAGTTGGCCAGGTAGCTGTCTTCCAAATTTCCTGACATGGATGAGTGGACACCTCCAGTGCTGCATCAGTTTGTTGAAATATTTCAATTTGTATTCTGTCAATTGCTGGAGACTTGTTTTTCACCAATGTCTGTAACACTCCAAAAACCCCACACCAAACCCACTGTCATCAAGTCCGTTCCAACTCACAGTGATCCTGTTTCAGGGTTTCCAAGGCTGTAAATCTGAAAAGGAGCAAAAAGCCTTATCGTTCTCCCAGGTGAGTTTGAACTACCAACCTTGCAGTTAGCAGTGCTTATCTTATGTTGTTGTTGCTCAGTGCCCTTGAGTCGGTTCTGAACCATAGCAACTCTGTATAGGGTTTCAGAGGAATGGCTGCTGAACTTGAATAACTTCGCAGTCAGTTAGTGCAGTCCAGTGCATTAACCCACAGAGCCACACCAGGACTCGGTGCTGATCCTATGGCTCCCTGTAATGCCCCGCATCCTCTAAACTAGACAAGTCCTACTCACTCTCTAGGTTTCAACCTAGTTGGTTACTTTTTCTGAGAGGCTTTTCCTGACTTCCCATCCTAAATTACAGCCCCCTGTTAATCTCTGTGGGAGAGAACAATCATGTTCTTCCTTCTGATACTCATTCCACTGGTAAGTGTGTATCTGTGCCTATTTGAATAATGTGCACAGCTGGCAGGGCCAGGGCCAGTTTCATCCACTCCTGTTCCCCTGGAGCTCAGCAATATGCCCAGCCCACAGGAAACCCTCTGGATCCTGTGCCTGAATCAGTGAATGATGAACTATCTTTAGATGAGTATGGCAGAGCAGGATGAGAGCAAACCTGGGCCATTCCCAAGAACTGAGCCTTTGGTCGGGAGAGACAAGCGGATTCAGTTCATTGTGTGCGCTGTGTATGCCTGAAAACTTTTTAAACCCACTATAGCCAACGGCTTCTCCAACCAAAAAGTAAGTGTTTGCGGGCATGTAAACATTAATTAAGTGACTTGAGGGACGGTGGAGTGAAAGATAAACTTAATTTTAAGGGTACTGGTGGGGGGAATGACAGAAGCAAGTTTGAACTACTCAAGATTTGAGAAATTCTAAAAGAATGTTACTTATAGAAAAGGTTACACAAGCACCTGTGTGAGTGCTGCTTTTTAACCTTGAACTGAGTCTTCTGGCTTCTGAGCCTCTGTCTACACTTAACCTCCAGTGCTCTATTAACATAGGGACATTAGCAAGACTTCTCACTTCTGTGGAGGGCCAGGCCGCTCAGCCCAAGAGAAAACAAGTTTAAAATTATGTGTGAGTATACATGTATCTTAAACACTTCAGATTTCTCACTAGAGCAAATATAACAAATAAGGTAACAGGTACAAAAAGAGTAAATTCATAAGCATGTGGAACTACAGGAAAGGGAAAATTAATGAGTATGTGGGAAAGCAGGGTATTGATAAACAAATCTGTTTAAAAGTACAACGCAGAGGATGCATGTTTCAGTCTTAGGATACAAGAACAATCCTTTCTGGGAAGGGGAGTGATTGTATATGCAGCACCAATGTTCAAATTCAGACTTGGATTTCAGCCAAAATCTACTATGTATTCCTGACATCCCTGAGTCTGTTCATGATCACTGGTCCTAAGAGTATGTGTAATTCAATCAGAGCTGGTCAGCACAATGACCACAGAGAGACAAACAAGCCCTGTCATCTAGAGTCACTGCTAATATCTGAATATTCACTGCCACTAACAGTTAAGGTTTTCTTCTTACATGCTCATGTCAGACTTTCAAAATCTGGCTGTTAAATGTTAAATATTAACATTATGGTAATCATTTAGAATTCTGATACATTTTCAGACTCATACTCTAGAAGTTCCTTCTAAAATGATTTTTGGAATCAACCTTATATTAATACATCGATTTTTAACATGCAAGCATTCAGCTAAAAATATATATATATATATATATATATATTATATATATCCATTTTTCACAGGCAACAATGAGAAAACCCAAAGCCCTGATATATTTATTCTATTTCCGTTAAGAGGAACATCTTTTATTTTCACTCACACCTGACCCATGATCTATCCTACCACCCTCAAAAACTATTTTTCACACTATAACCTCTCATTTTCCTTTATTTCTCAGTAAAAATAAATAAAAATTTTTAAAAATCAAAGTGCTCTATTTTGATGGTGGGTAGAAAAGGATGCTAAGTGATCAAAGATCATTTGTATTGCCACTTGTGCTAAAAACAAAGGACATGTGTCTCTGGAGACCCAGACGGGAGACAGTGACTCAGAACCCAGTCAGGTGAGTCAGCCAGCGGGTCAGTGGAGGTGGGAGCAGAAACCACCATGGATGGTGTTCTACTGGAGAGAGTGTTCTCTGTGAGCTGCTCAACAAAGAGTACCATTTGCTAATCTCTAGCTGGGGAAAGTGACAAGAAGAAGAATGAATTTTCTTGCGGTTCTGAGCTTTGGGTTAATACAGAAGTTTAGCAGTTTGGGGAAAGATTCGTTAGTTGACATTCTCCTTTCCAAGGACTGAGGCTAATAAAATCTCCCCATCTTGTCTTTCCCTATAAGCATTTGCCTTTTCCACTTGTTTTCTGCCTTGGACAATTAGAATTTTCTGATAGAAAAAAATTTTTTTAAGGAAATGGTGCCACATACAGACAAAAAAGATATAAAGTTCTCTCTGCTGGACCCATTTTCAGTGTTCTGGTTAATCAGAAGTACCCTGGGGAGTAGCTTAATCTAGGTTATTACAAAGTCTCATGAAGTCAGGGACAAAATCAAGGTCGTTAGGGGCTCGACTTCACACCTTTCAGCTTTCCATCCAAAGGGAATCAGCTGCCTAAATGCACTTTTTCAGATATTGCTGAGGAAAAGTTACTAAATCATTGTCATTAAAATAAAATGACGACCACACAAAGTTCTGGACTACTGCTGAGTTCTCATGGCTGGAGGTCTAACACAGGATGGTTTCTGAGGGACAATTTGTGAAAGATGAGAAATGGAATAAACTTAGAAAATTTTAGTGTGATACAATAGAAAATACTGAGGAAAGGGAAATATAGAACTTCTGACCTCACACGATTTAACAGCCTTCGACTTGCTAAGACCCAAGGAAAAGAAAAGGCTTTATATTTCTCACTTGAATCTGCTGCAGTCACCAGTAAGGACCATGCTGCTGGCAGAAGCTCAAACTTCTCACGTTTTCTAGTCAATAAAAATCAATGTCAAAGGAATCCAATACTTTGCCGTCCCCAAGGGCTTTGTATCTATTCTAAAAGGAGTTCTCCATCTGAACTCCAGAGCAACCGGCTGCGACTAAGCTGAAAAACCACAAACTTTCTTCATTCCTTCCTTGCCCACCTTCAGTCCTCAGATTTCAGGCCTCAGAATATCCCTGTGTAGTACCCAACTGCTCAGTTCAAGGAGAGCATCTCCTTCTAGACCGTATCCTAGTGAAGGAAGGTGTCTGAGGCATATCACAGTTTATGGCTAGATAAGCTCAGGGAGAAAGGAAGGGCTCTCTCTCATGGGGTGGCGCTCGCCCAACCAGTAACCAGTTGCCACTGAGTTGACTTTGCCATGTGCCTCCTCAAACGCTGATGCACAGCTTACCTTGGTACAAGGTGGTTGAATTTGTAACAACTGAAGACCTCTTGGATCTTTTCTTCTACTTTTGCCTGGTAACAATGCAGGAGATGGAAGAGAGAAAACAAATACAGATGAGACTTCTATCAACTTTATCCCCCTATTGCCACAAATGCCTATTGGCTTGGCGTGATTGCATACTTCATAGCACTATAAGGCTGGGTTCAGGGACTCTACCAGGTGAAAGACTTAGGACAAGGCGCGTATGTACCATTTGGTAACATAATCAAATTCCCCAATCATCTAATCCATAATACCCAAACTAAAAGCAGTTTTGTAATTGGACTCCTGGTACCAATTAGGTATTCTGGGTGCACAGTGAGTTAAGTACTGGGCTGCTAGCTGAAGGTCAGCAGTATAAACCCACCAGCCAGTTACTCAATGGGAGAAAGATGAAGCAGTCTGCTTCTGCATAGGTTTACATACAGCCTTGGAAACTCTATGGAAGTTCTACCCTGTCCCATATGGTTGCTATGAGTCAAAATCAACTTGATGGCAGTGAGTTTGTGTTGCATCTGGCTGGCTCTCAGGGATTAAATGAAGAGAGATACATTTCGTTTGCAAGATATATTCTTGCCTGCTCTATGAAGTTGTTTGGTATTCATGAACTGGCTACATTCAAATTAACACAATTCCTGTCAAGGGTCATATTTCTTATTATCATATTGAATGGTTTAAATAAAAGTATTACATGCCCTAAGGAATTTCTAACAGCATCAATCACTGAAAACTAAAGGGAGAGCAAATCTAAGCATTGGTCTTACTTCACATGCAGGACTCCACACTTGCATAAAGCAAGCAAAGGGTCTTAGAAAGTTAGGTTACCAAAGCTACGAGTTCACCTATCTTCTCTGAAGACCACAGCATATAGTGGTCATCCAGCACAGTCTTGTTAGGAAAAACACAGTATTCATAAGGGTGGGGCTGATGAAGAGGATACAAATTTTTGCCTTCATTAGAATCCCTACTCTTTGTATGAGGCATGTTCTTGCCGGGACTTCAAGAGACATAATTGCCTCCCTGGGAAATTTCAAAAATGTGTTACTCAATTCTGAAACATCCACAAAGCCAGAGTTTCCAGTTCCTTTGACAAATTTGCAGGAATTATTTCTGATAAGGTGAGCAGTGATGTGAGTCACCTGAAATGTCAGCCAATTTAAAATTCACTGTATATTTGGTTTTGGGGATAGTGCTGTGGCATTTGTCTTTGATTATGAGTTTGAGGGATGATCTAAGAATTTATAATTTAAAAAACAGGCTAAAGTCACAGTGAGAATCTGACTCAAAGGGAATAAGGAATTTGTCCCAGATTCCTCATAGTTCTTTTTCCATTGCGGAAACTCAGTAAGGACTAATATGAAGCGTGAGCCTAAACGGAACACAGACTGCACTTCTCAGTCATGCCTTCCTTAGCTGTCAGAGAAATGGGATAGAAAAATATGCAAGAAATATATGGCAGTAAGGACACTGAAGAAAGATTTGCCTCGGATACACTGTTATATCTAAATGATTAATAAGTTACAATGAATAAGGAAGACCAAAGAACTGATGCCTTTGAATTATGGTATTAGCAAAGAATATTAAATATATCATGGACTGCCAGAAGAACAAGCAAATCTGTCTTGGAAGACGTATAGCCAGAATGCTCTTTAGACTAAATGAGGGCAAGACTTTGTCTTATGTAGCTTGGACATATTATTAGGAAGGACCATTCCCTGGAGAAGGACATCATGCTTGGTAAAGTGCAGGGTCAGTGAGATGGGTTGACACAGTGGTGGCAATGATGGGCTCAAACATGGCAACAATTGTGAGGATGGTGCAGAACCAGGCAGTATTTCATTTGTTTATTGCACATATTGCTATGCATCAAAACTGACTCAATAGCACACAACAACAACTAAATGAATTGATGAATACTGAGTGAAACCAAACCAAGCGTGAGGGAAACCCACTTCCTTTACCCAAATATAAGCCTATTCAAATCCCTGCGACTTACTATTCAAAAATGAACCTGTTTCTTACTTAGTCTGATTCTTAGATCCCTAGAGGGAAAAGCTTCCAGTCAATAAGAATCTCGCCTTTAACTTCCACTTGAGCTAACAAGCAGCCAAGTACGAGATGAAGAAAATGTGGGTTTATTTCTAAATGAATATAGCCAATAGAGTACCCATAATGTGGAAAATGCTTGAAATGCTCCCAACTGTAGTGCTCTTTGGATTATAGAATCACTTTTTTACAGAATGAACAAAAATATGAATTCTAATAAATTTCTGAGTATTGCAGATCATCAGAATTCATTTATTTTCTCGTAAGATCTAATGTATGTTTTTCACAGCTTTGCTACTGTTAAGTGCCATCGAGTCCGTTCTGACTCACTGCGACCCTGTACAGAGTTTCCGAGAAGCAGCTGGTGGCTTTCAGCTGCCAACCTTGAGGCTCGCAGTCCACTGCTTATCCTTCAGCGCCTATTAACAGTGTCAATTATTGTTAAGTGCCATCGAGTTGGTTCCGACCCATAGCGACCCTATATAGGGTTTCCAAGGAGCAATTGGTGAGCTTGAACCACTAGCCTTGTAGTTCAAACAGCTTTGCAGTCTGGTACATTAACCCACAGCGCCAAACCAAGACTCCATAGTTGTTGTTAAATGCTGTCAAGTTGGTTCTGACTCATGGCGACTCTGTGTAGGGTTTCCAAGGAGCGGCTGGTGAGTTTGAACCACCAACCTTGCAGTTCAAACCGAATTTGCAGTCTAGCGCAGTAACCCACAGCGCCACACCAGGACTCCAGTATCAATAGTAGCTCAATAAAATAACATCTTATTTGAGAGATATTTCATAGACCATATTAACTCACCCATTTCAAGTACATGATTCAATGACTTTTAATATAGTTACAGAGCTGTGCATCCATCATCACAATTTTAGGACATTTTAATTATACCCTCCCCCACTTATCCATTCATCACCCTGCAACTTCCCTTCCTCTCCAGCCCTAGGCAACCACTGATTTACTTTGTCTCTGTAGTTTCCTATTCTGGAGTTTACATATAAATGTGATGGGCCTTTTTCATTTACCATAATGTTTTCAGGGTTTATCCATGTTATAATACATACACATTTATTCCTTTTTATTGCAAAACAACATTCATTAAATAGATATACCCTACATTTTGTGTATCCATGAATCAGTTAGTGGACATTTGGGTTGCTTCTAATTTGGGGCTATTACTATGCTGCTAAAACATTAATGTTTAACATCTTGTGTGGGTCTATATTTTTATTTCTCTTGATATATACTTAGGAGTAAAAATGCTGGATCATATGGTAATTCTACATCTAACAGTTTAAAGAAAAGACCGACTGTTTTCCAAAGCAACATATTAAGAATTTCCACCAGCAGTGTAAAAAAAAGGGTTTCAGTTTTATCATCTGTGTTTTTTATTATTATTAGTGGATGTGAAGGAGCCCTGGTGGCACTTTAGGATAAGCACTGAACTGTTAACTGCAAGTTGGCAGTTCAAACCCACCAGCCATTCAATGGGAGAAAAATGAAGCTTTCCAGTATCTCATTGTGGTTTTAATTTGCATTTTCCAGATGGCTAATGATGCTGTAAAGGAGCTCTGGTAGCATAATGGTTACGAATTGGGCTGCTAACTTCAGGGTCAGCAGTTCAAAACTACCAGCTGTTCCACGGGTAAAAGATGAGGCTTTCTGCTCCTGTAAAGATTTATAGTCTTGGAAACCCTGTACAGGGTCGCTACGAGTTGGAATCGACTCCACGGCCCATAACAACAAAACAACAATGATGTTGTAAGCACTCCGATCACAGGTTGGCTTAAACTGCATGGTGGGCGGTTCAAATTCACCAGCTGCTCCTGGAAAAACCTATACAGGGTTGCCATGAGTAAGAACCGACTTGACGGCACTAAACAACAACAATGTTGCACATTTTTTCATGTAGCTACTGGCCATTTGTGTATCTTCTTTGGGGAAGTGGTCATTCAGATACTTTGCTCATTTTTTGATTGGGCTGTCTTTTTGTTATTAAGTTATGACCTGTGATAAATTGTTGCCGAGTAGATTCTGATTGCTGGCAACTCTACAGGACAGAGTAGAACTACCCCACAGGGATTCCAAGACGGTACATTTTTACAAATGCATACCGCCACATCTCTCTCAGAGTGGCTGATGGGTTCCAATTACTAACTCTTTGATTAGCAGCTGAGTGCTTAGCCACTGAGCCACCAGCGTTCATCTACTTAGCTATAAATGTTCTGTCCCATTCTGGGGGCTGTCTTTGGAAACCAGTGCTTTTTTTTAATAGAAAAAGATCATCTCAGAGCATACATTATGGCTTTTAAAGTTGTTCAGTGCTATCCAGTTGCTTCTGACTCATAGCAACCCTATAAAGGGTTTCTGAGGCTTTGAATCTTTGGTTGGGTCATGGGGGTGGGGAGTGGCGCCACCATCTTTCTCCCATGGAGCAATAATACTTAGCAATGAAGTCTATAAATTTTTGACAAACAGTAATGGATTAATATAAAAATGAAAAAAGCACTCAGCCAGAGATGAGAAAATGGAATATCTTTTATTGTTTCCCCGTTTCCCCCATAGAGGGATGACAGGTGGTACTATAGGATAAGCCTTGGATTGCTAACTGTAAGGTCAACAGTACAAACCCACCAGCCACTCCAAAGGAGAGAGCTGAGGCTCTGTGCTTACATTAATATTTACAGCCTAGGAAACCTTTTACAGGTAAAAAACCACCCACTGCTATAGAGTCAGAATTGCTCAAGGGCATTGGGAGGGCCAGTGTTACATAAAATGTGAATAAATCTGTTCCTGGGTAAATACAAATATTCTTTAAATGTACTGATTTACATAACAAAAGAAAGGAAAAAGCTAATTACGGATTAAAAAATAATTTTTGATAAAGGAAACTAGGGTAAATTGCTACAACTTGATGAACTTGACCTATACTCATAGAGATTGTTGTTGTTAAGTGCGGTCGAGTCGATTCCAACACATAGC